GCAGGAATGTAACTTACATGGTCCCATTCAGGATACCCATGATTTGTTACACTCAGTACTAACAGAAGCAGGTATTATGAAAATGACAGCTATATATTCTTCTCTGCTCTCAAAGACTGCAGTAAAAAATATGTAGGTTTAAAGCTTTCTTTTGTTTGCAACTAATTCATTTTTTTATATATTACTACAGATTTTGGGTTTGAATTTAACATTCATTTAATCTAAAATGTTCACATTAAATTAGAACAGTTCAGTTCACTAGTACAATAATAAACTAGCTATGTATTTGTATGTTCCTCTCTTCTCTTCCTTTCCCCCTCTCTTTTATAACCTATCTTCTCTCTCCTTTTACATCTCTCTTCTCTTTGTTGGCTCCCATAAAATTCCATTTCCATGACTTCCTTCATCTTTCATTCTCTTTTATTTCCATCTTCTTTCCATTCTTACCACGCTCCTCCATTCTTTTAAACATCTACTGGTATATAAAAATTTTATAGCGAAAAAAATATCATGGGTAAGACTACAGCAAAAGATTCTTGTTAACCTGAAATCTTCTCTCATTGGTCCCTCCTCCTGTAAATTACTCAGCTGCAATAACCTATCTTCTCTCTCCTTTTACTCTTCTCTTCTCTTTGTTGGCTCCCATAAAATTCCATTTCCATGACTTCCTTTTCATTCTCTTTTATTTCCATCTTCTTTCCATTCTTACCACGCTCCTCCATTCTTTTAAACATCTACTGGTATATAAAAATTTTATAGCGAAAAAAATATCATGGGTAAGACTACAGCAAAAGATTCTTGTTAACCTGAAATCTTCTCTCATTGGTCCCTCCTCCTGTAAATTACTCAGCTGCATCTCTGTTCTTGTCTCACCACATCCAATCTTTCTTGCCCTATTTAATACTCTCCCCTTTTTCTTTCATAATATAACTTTGCATTTGCTCAAATCTACTCTCCCCTCTTTTCATTTCCTCTCCTTTGGTCTCCACAATGAAATTTCTTTTCCTCCTCTTCCCCATCAAAGTTCTTGCCTGATTTTTCAGCTGCAATGAAACTACTTCTTCCCTTGATAGAAAGTGGACAGCACCTCTCTCCTTCCCACAATTCCCACTGCCTTTCCACGACTGTGCAAAAAACAAAGGCGGCCCAAAATCTGTCTTTTTCTTAATAATGACAGTCAGTTGTCAGAGATCAGGCAGCAAGGGATCTAGACTGCAGGAGTATTTCTTGTCCCCTAGCTTTTTACAGTATCCAGTTTCCTTTGTAAAAGGGGGGGAGCATCTGCATATCAATATTTCCTGTTTATAAAAACAAAACAGATGTAAACTGCTAGTGATAGAGTTCCAGTGTACTCCCATCCTAGGAACACAGTTTATTTTGGAAAACACATGCTTGGCTCCTCCTGACAGCAATGGAAGGCATGACCATTGGCAGAGACAGTCTAGTCCCTGGAGAAGTACATGTATAAAGGCACATATAGAAAAGAACAGAAGTAAATACTTTTTCTGAAGCTGTTGAAAACCAACCAATGTTCTATATTAACTATTAAGTATTTCTGTTTGTGTCATCAACCTCATATTAACAGTTGAGAACTCATAAACTAAAAACGCTTAGCAACAATATAGTGAAGATGAAGATTCACGGAGACAAGACTACAAAACGCATTCATATTATCATCTCCAGAAAACCTGTAATACTGGTACTAAAACACGAACTCTACATAATGAGTTATGAAGAGACACGTTTCAAGTAGTTTCAATGGGGCGGGTAGAGAGGAGAAGGGGAAAGACAACAGGTTGCAGACTGCTCTCTGAATTGGAACTATAATTCTAAGAAAACATAAAAACCTGAAAACAATCACAATACAAACACATCTGAAGAAACCAACCTTCTGTATCAGTTGCACTGCTGATAACATTGGTGAGTTTGGCTTTCAAACTGGTGTATGTGACATTGGTCTTTCCCTCACTTTCGTATCGACCAGTGCCCAGCGATATTAGACACTGCAATGGAACATTTGGCCAAAGACACTTGCACTCATGAACTGCTAGTGCGGAAGGATTATTTAGCAGCAGACCTCCATCCTGTAAATTAAAAATAAATACAGGTGTTAGTACTGTACGTAACATACAGTCATAAAAGAAACTGCAACTATAAACTAAATGAGCACAGCACTAATATACAACATAATTAAATCAAACAAGCATTAATGTCCATCTCTTGTGCAACTGTTCTGTTGTGCTATGCAGCAGCTGCACAGCGAGGCTTCCTGGGCTTAATGGACATGGCCAGGGCAGCTCCTGGGTCTGCGGTCAGTTCTGCTGGTGTGAGTGTTGTATAGAAGAGGTAGGCTGAAACAGCAGCATTCACTGAATATCTGAAGAAGTTATGACTTCAGCTTCTAAAGACCTTTTAGGTAAAACAGATATGCATATTGACAATTTCTTAAACAATCAAAAAGTCTGCATCTCAGAATGTTTATTACTGGTATTACAAGGATATGTTCTGTAACAAAATACAAATCACTACCTACAGATTCTAAAAAAAAAAAAAAAAAAAAAAAAAATCACAAGAGCTAAGCTTGGCCAAATAAGCTTGGCCAAAACTACATTATAAGCACAGCCATTACACAGCATACTATATATTGGATTTATGACTTGGAAAATCACAGAATCATTTAGGCTGGAAGGGACCTATTGAGCTCATCTGGTCCAACCCTCCTGCTCAAGCAGGGTCAGTTAGAGCACACTGCCCAAGGCCATGTCCAGTCGGGTTTTGAGTATCTCCACAAATGGAGACTCCAAAACCTCTCTGGGCAACCTGTTCCAGTGTTTGACCACCCTCACAGCAAAAAAAATTCTCTTGCGTTCAGATGGAATTTCATGTGTCTTCATTTGTGCCATTGTCTTTTGTCCTGTCAGTGGGCACTACTGGGAAGAGCATGGCTCCCTCATCTTCATTCCCTCCCATCCTTTATTCGTACACATTGATAAGATCCCCCATGAGCCTTCTCTTCAGGTTTGTACCATCTGTGAACTTCTTCCAGGTGCACTCTGTCCCATCATCCAGGTCATTAATGAAGATGTTAAATAGTACTGGCCCCAATATTGACTCCCAGGGTACACCTCTAGTGACTTGCTTCCAACTGGACTTTGCGACACTGATCCCAACCCTCTGGGCCTGGTCATTCAGCTAGTTCACAGTCCACCTCACTGTCTACTTATTTAACCCACGCTTTGTCAGCTTGTCTATGATGTTATGGGAGATACATGTCAAAGCCTTTACTGAGGTAAACACCATCCACTGCTTTCCACTTGTTCACCAAGCTAGTCACCTCATTGCAGAAGGCTACCAGGTTGGTTAGTCATGAGTTCCCCTTTGTAAATCCATGCTGACTACTCATGATCACCTTCTTGTCCTTCATGACTTCGGAAATCCTTTCCAGGAGGATTTCCTCCATCACCTCCCAAAGGATTGGGCTGACTGAGGCCAACTAGCCTGTAGTTCCCCACAGCTTTCTTCTTGCCCTTCCTGAAGAAAGGAATGATATTTGCTCTCCCAACCTCTCCAACTCACCATGATCATTTAAAGATAAAGAAAAGTCACCTCACAATGGCATCAGCAAGCTCCATCAGCACTCATGGGTGCAACCCATCAGGCCCTATGAATTTATGTATGTCCAGTTTGTTTAACTGCTCCCTAACCTGGTTCTCCTCCACCAAGTGCAAGTCCCCCTTGCACCAGACTTTCCCTCTAGCTTCAGGGGCCTGGGATTCCTGAAAGCCGTTTTTACTGGTAAAGACTGAAACAAAGGCAGCATCAAGCATCTTGGCCTTTTCCATGTCATTTGTCACCAGCTCCCCTGCCCCATTCAGTAGCAGGCCCACGTCTTCCCTAGTCTTCCTTTTGCTGTTTATGTACTTGTAGAATCCTTTGTTGTTGCCGTTCACATCCTCTCCAGATTCAACTCCAGGCTGGCTTTGGCTTTCCTAACCCCATCTCTGCAAGACTGGACAGGAGCTCTATACTTCTCCTGGGTCACCTGCCCCTGCTTCCACCTCTCGTACACTTCCTTTTTATGTCTGAGTTCAGTTAGGACCTCCTTGCTCATCCATGCCTGCTACCTCTGCTTGATTTCCTACTTGTTGGGATGGTCCTTTCTTGAGCTTGGAGGAAGTGATCACCGAGTATCAGCCAACTCTCCTGGACCCCTCCTCTCTTCAAGGCCATAGCCCATGGAATTCTTCAAGCAGAGCTCTGAAGAGGATGAAGTCTGCTCTCCTGAAATCCAGGGCTGTAGTCCTGCTTTTTTCACTGCTCCCTTCTCTTAGGATCTTGAACTCCATCATCTCATGGTCACCGTAGCCAAGGCTTTCTTTACTTTCATGTCCCTGACCAGTTCTTTATTCTTCATAAGCATCAGGTCCAGCAAAGCACCTTTCCTTGTTGGCTCCTCCATCAACTGTGCCAGGAAGTTGTCATCAGTGCACTGAAGAAACCTCCTAGATTGCTTGAGCTCCTCTGTATTCTCCTTTCATCAGCTATCAGGATGATTCAAGTTCCCCCTAAGGACCAGGCCCTGGGAACATGAGGCTTCTTTAAGCTGTCTGAAGATCAGACTTCAGCCCAAGACTAATAGGAACAAAGGCTACTCTTACAAGTCTGGAAGTGAGGAGACACATCTTTTGCTAGGAACATGTCAAAAGCATAGGTGATGAGGCTGGGATAAAATACTTAAGGACTAATAAGAATCAGTATGACTGACAATAAATCTGAGAAGCATTCAGACAAGGAGATTTTGATCCAGCAAATCTCAAAAAGTATGCTCAGCACTTCTTGGAAGTAAAATGATCTTCACTCCAACTAAGAAATAGATTACTTTGGACTTTGAATTAAATAGGACTTTCTATATTGGAAATGCCTTAAAAAAAGCAGTTATAAAGGCAAAACTTAAGCTGAAAACATTATCAATAGCAGAGATTAAGATCTTTATAGCTGTTCAAAATCTATACAAAGAAAATACGTAAAATATAAAAGAAACAGCATATTGACTACAATAAGCATTATGCAAAAGCTCCCTATATCCTAAAGCTCCCTAAACTCCCTATATCCGATACCTAACCATCACATTACAAGAACAATAAAAAAAAAAAGGCAACTCTACTAAGGAATAGCTTAGAATAAAAAATGTTTTGGAATTGATAAACATTTTACAGGAACTCCTTTTAATTACAGCTGCGCTAATAAGTAAAAACACGATTACTGAGCTGAGTTTGAGGTTTTTTTTTTAATTAAGCTTTCTTTTCAACCTACAAAAAGCTCTTTGAACTCCTTCTGGATACTGTCCGCTTTGCTCAAAACACTGCTAAAATGAATGGTCTCTTCAGTGCCTATTATCCTTTGCTTATGTTTAAATTAGCTTCTACACAGAAAACTAAATACAAGGATGTTTTTGTTCTTGATATAATTCCCCATAAATCTCAATCTAAAATCTTAATAGTTATCTTTGTGGTACTTACTTTTTTTGTTTAAATCCTAGATTAAAAACATGCTTACCGAATAATTACCACTGATCTTGTCAATATAATTTAATTAAACATGATTGCTTCACCATGGGAAAATCAGTGTTATCAAAAGCTAGGGGCTATATAATACTGGGATTCTACAATATTTTTGTAATATTGACAAATAAAAGATCAAAGGAAGGTAAAGTACACATATCCACACATACCAAATGTGTATTGTGATGATAACTAATAGCTTTGTGCAATGATTTCCATATTTAAACATTCTCCAATTTATGTTTATTGAAATGACAGTAAATACCCATTCCTAGTAATTTCCAATTTAGACACCTTTCACATAACTTCTAGCATTTATATAGATACATGTAATTTTTGGAAAGTTAGAAGTAGGACTCAATAAGGAAGGCAATTTAATTTTTTCTTCCCCTCCAAACAGATTATGGTTGATAATGACCACATCCCGATCAATATTGTGCTTCAAATCAGCTTAGTCTGTTAAACAAAGATGTTCATCATATTGCTCTTTTGCTTACAATGATCAACTACTGATGCAATAAATAACGTTATTAGTTAAAACAGACTATTAAGGACTCAATGAAGGAAATACTGCAATAATTTATTTCATTCTGCAGCTCCAGAAGCCCTAGAGCTCATTATGTCAAAGGGTGAAATTCTTGTGGAAAAATATTTCACAAGTTTTAAAATTAGTTGCAATGATTTCACATGTATGTGAATACTAGGAAAACTGTGAACAACAAAGAATTTTCCAGTTCTAAGATTAAAAAATAGAAACTAACCTTTCTGATTCTGAATAATTCCTCTATCTTCATAAAACTGGACAAAAAGTCCTTCCCAAGAAATATATTAAACTAGCAATACAGAAATAGGAAAGCCAGATCTAAATTTTTTAAAAAGTAATTTTAAGAAATCATAGAATCATTAAGGTTGGAAAAGACCCTTAAGATCATTGAGTCCAACCATTGAATCATGACATAGCCTTCTTCATGCTTGTCCTTGAGACAATTCCAAGGGATCAATTCTGCAGTTTTGTACATAAGATATACTGAGATCACAAGAATCTTCACTGATCCTTGCTCTGAATTCCTATGTATTTAGTCTGTCAATTTGTTTTGGAGAACTGCCAAATTTGCTATCTTAATTTTTTTTTCTGATTCTGTTGAAGTTATTCTATAGTTATACAATAATATAAAAACTAATGAAATTATTTATAATTTACCAAGTAAAATATTTTTATTGTAAGCACTCAGCTTTTAAAAGATGTTTATAAAAATATATTAATCAAAATGCAATATAACCAAAAGACTGAATGATTGCTAGTAGTATGGAATGTCTCGGTGACTAACACAACAGCTTCCTCTTCTATATTTGTTTCTAACTAATTAAACTTTAAAGTTTCATGCAGTTAAACAACTGGAAGTAAACAAGGCCAATGTATCTGATCTACGGGTAGAGAGATGCCTGTTGGCCAAAATCTGAATTATTGTTTGTCTCTTTTTTCAGAAGGAAGCTATTCATTTTATGAGCCCATTCAATTTCAAATGTTCTGTTTTCTTGGTACAATCTCTTGTGTTTGATCCACCTCTGTCTCAATCTTAAATTTAAATTTTTCAGTTAGTGTGATGGTTGACTTAGGATCTTCCCAGCATGCTTCTGCAGGAGTGAAGAATGACAAACCAAGAATAGTAATCCAGAAGCAAAAAGTTTAACCCAAACAATTAAATTTATTGATTCAGGCCATGGACTGAAAGACATTCATGGCTGGGGTACAAACAAAAGCAACACTAGTAAAATACTACTTAGAAATACAGCAAAGTGAATAGTTGTGATGTGCTATGGTGAAAAATATGACAATCGCTGAAAAGATTAGAGAAACTAGGTGAACTAGTGACAAGCTGCACTGCATACTCCATGGAATGACTGTGGGGAAGTTTCATGTGTCTGACTTTCCACGAATAAAATTGTATGTACACAATAATGCATTTTAGAATGATTTTAAGTATAGTGATCAGCAAATGCCAACATTAGTAAGATGTGCAAAATGCACTGACAGAATGCAACCTTCAAAGTGTATCAGTATTGTTGCATTCTTTGTGCCCATTATCTATTTTATGGAATATATTTTCAGAACATGATTTATAATTGAAAAGCATATATTTCATGGACCCATACTAGCACAGAACAATTCTGATCTCCTAAAGCCTTCATATAAACAAAATAATGCAAACGAAAAATGGTCTTTATACCACATACAATGGTGTAAAACTCTTGTTGATATAAAGTGATATTTTGAATTATACTGTAAGCTTCAGATGCGATTCGAATTCTACAAAGCAATGCTGACTTCATGCACAGCCCTAAACCTTTTCAGTTCCTAATAAATTTATCAGTTCCTTTTTGATAGACTGGAGTGTCTTCAAATGTCCCTCCTTTCATCTGTATTATTAGATACATTGCTATGGTACAGTACTGTCTGTGTGCACACAGAAAAAGAGAGACAATATGAACAGTATATTAGATAAACTACTAGATTATCAACATACACTTGGGCTAAAAGCAAAGCCAGTAGGTCAAGTGAAGTGATTATCCCCTTTTATTCAGTACTCATGAAGTCAAACTGGGAACACTGTGTACAGCTTTGGACACCCAGTTATAAGGCACTGAAAAACTGGAACACACACAGTAAACCACTAAGATGGTCTGGGGGCTGAAGCATGTAACATATCAAAGGAGATGCAGGGAACTGGGTTTGCTTAACCTGGAAAAAGAGAAAGCCAGGGAGGAATCCAATCACAGTCTTCCACTGCCTAAAGGGGGAGAAGACACAGCCAGACTCTTTCAAAAAGTGCAGAATAAGAGTCAGAGAAGCTGTGGAATCTCCATCCTTGGATATTTTCAAAACTCAACTGGGCAAGGCCTTGAGCCACTTGACCTAATTTTGAAGTTTATAATGCTTTGAACAGGAGGCTGGACATTTAAAAAGTCATTCTTATTACAAATTGAACTTTGTCAGTCCAGTCTAAGTCTTGTGGAAAATGCAAACATGAGTTTTCCATGTGTAACTCATACCTTGGAATCTGTAACTGAAAGGGTAACTTATGGGAACTCTTCAAATGACTAAACTGCTACCAACATCCATAAAAATGTGCAATTGTCCCGAGTTCTGACTCAGGACTCAGTGCTGGGCAAACAGCCAGAGTAGACCCCTCATTCTCTCTGTTCTCCCATTCTTAGATTGTCTGGCCTTCCCTACATTTCACCATCCCTTCTCATTTAGCTAGTTCTCAATCCAATTGCAAACTCTTTTTCACTTCCCAAACATACATGAGTCACCCCTTCCCTCTTGCGTTCTTCTGTGCTGCTACAGTCAGTGCACTGGCAAGTACTAGATGTTTCTTCATATGCTGGACTTTTGCAAAACCACTCCACACTTGAGTCAACTTAATTTGCTGGCAGTACACCGAACACAAAGTGCCATACTAGGAATGTTAATGCAAGTAAGTGCTGAAAAAGGGTGTCTAACTTTCCTAATGTCATCATGCAGGTAAACAGTAGGGAAGAAGGCTTTTTTAAAATTTCTATTAAAAATAATGGAAGTTATCAAATAAATTAATCTTAAAATGGAGCTTAATACATATAAAACCAAGCTTGTTAGTGATAGCAAAGCAGCGAACTCAAGGACTGGGACATTACTTTCAGTCTTTTGCCAAAGGCTTTCCAAGTGGTAAATATTCAATTGTTATGCTTTGTTTAATATTTTATCAGCTAATTCCCAAGTGAACTCAATGAAGGTTTTTTTCATAGAGATTCTTCCAAAAAAATTCCCCATGCAATTGTAACCATATTTTTAGGGCTTGATCGTTACTCAGAAGTCTAAACTTGTAGCTAATATTTTCTATGAGTTTTTTTGATAGTTGCAAAATAGTCAGGGAAGGTACCCTCATGATTTGACTACCAGATTGTAAATTATTTAAAGCAGGAAAAATGCACCTTTGGTAGGCATATGCTCCAATGAAAACTCCCTGGTGAAGATACCCTGCTTGCCCAGTTCTAAGGGATAAAGAAAGGCCTGGTTAAACATTATGAAACAGATCGGGGCAAATTCTACAATCAGAAGGAAAATACATTGAGAAGTCTCAAAGAAAGTGCTCCAGACCAGCTGGGAGCCTAGTAGCACAGGACCTTCTGAAAATCTTGTCCCATTTAAATAATTATGGTGAATGTGCATAAAGTCACCACTCACATACTTAAGTCAATACTTTAGAAACAGTTATTTAAATGAAGATATTAATATAAAAATCAGTTTGAACCATATTTTACCATGGGAAGTTGTTTCTGACAAGTTCAGAATACTCTGTACATTCATAGGCCATCATTGCATTTCCTAACATTGTCAGACTCAAGTTGTGCCTTGTAATTGTTCTGTGTAACATCCTGTGTACTGCACAGTTTCACTTAAATGATGCTAAACTTTGTGAAGAAAATAATCTAGCACTAGATGAAGGATATATAACTTAAGAAAGCCAAGTCTGATATTTGGAAGCTGAGTTTGTTGGCTCCATAGTAACCACCTCACTGCCTACGCAGACATGCTCTGCATTTTAGTTCACTTTTACGGATTTGCTCTGTTGTTTACTTTCATTGTCTTTGTGAGAAAGCAGAGACAGAATTAGTACAAAGGTATCACAGGCTAGGAGAAGACAGATTCTGAATGGACTTTTGAAAAGTATTTTTTAAATTCTATGTTTAAAGTCAACATAAATATAATAAATATGCACATTAAGGATAAGGATTATTGCTTCAAATGAGGAGTTTGAAGAGTTGCTGCACTACAACAAGGGGTTACTTCTTAGAAAAATTAAAGTAACTACTCTAAAAACATTTACTCTGGTTTCCATAAGTAAAACAGGTATGCCTTGCCAAATCATTCTGTAAAATCAGATCAATACATTTACGTAAGTAGCAGCAAATGCCCTCAGAGTAGAAGACAGGAATGAGAAACAGGAGAGTTGTTTTACTACCTGTAAGATCTACTCATACAGATTAACTTCAAGATTCACATCCTGACCTAGTCCTCTCATTGCACTGGGCACCCAGTGCCATTATGAGAATGTTAGTATATTCACATATAAAGCTTTAAGGCTTGCTCAAACATCACTGGGCTACCAAATTACAGTTTTTAATACATGCTTTGTGAAAAAGGAATCTATACATTCAGATTTAACTGCGCAATAAACTAGCCCCATAGCGTTCTGCTCAGATAGATTCTCCTCAATACAAAGGCTACATGATCTCCCTGTTCTGTTAAATATATACAAAAATGTTTGAAATATTACATCAATTATGGCTCTCCTCCGGTGAGTAATCAGTCAGTCTGGTCACAGTACTACTGAGGATGAAACTGTTGAAGAGGAGCTCCCAGCAAGTACATGAAATCTTTATGTCCCTGCACAAACTATTTTGACCCCATAAAATGTATAGTATTTTATAAACATGAAACAATACAGCAGAAAAATTGTTTCTTCCTTATCTTGGTCACAAGCAATGGATGGCAGTGCCAATATTTCTAACAAATCTGTTTAAAACGTACAGTGCACTAGAACAATTTGGTTTAGCTTCATTCTAATGGTGGGTCTGATCCACTTTGCTGTATGAGATGAGTGAGAAAAGATTTTTTAATAAATTAGATAATTTTCTATAAAGCATACAATGACCTACAGTTATCTCTTTATACAAATATTTAATGCAATTTATTCAGAAAGATTCCCCCTTGCTTCATAATCATGCTAACAGGGATGCTATTGGGTCAACTACATACAATTTATGATGTATTCTGCACTATGCTGATTCCCAACAGAGACCTTAATTGGTGACAGATATTAATACAATCCTCCTATACACCAAATTTCTAACAATTTCAGAATGACCGATTCCGTTACTTAAGGAGAGGCAGAAATGCTCCCTTAAATTCCTGAAATAAACGTCTTGTGCTCATTACTTTGGAAGGCTATCTCAAAATTATCATTTCTCTTCAGACACTAGAAAAACAAACACTCTAGAACTGTGACAAGTAACTGCTCAAGCGTGCACTGAAAAAGGGATTCCCCTTGAACTGCCTAATGGAAAAATTCTTTAGAAAATGTACAGAAATGAAAATTAAATGCATTTGTATTTATATTATTGAATGACACTAATATTAAAATTTCCATTACTGCTGTCTTTGACAGTTTAAAAAAATCAGAAGGTACGCAAGCTACATTTGTACTTCTACTACGCCAGTTGCAAAAAAAGAACACTTTATACTGAGACCACATTACATAAAGTAAAAAAAAAAAAACTAATAAAGTTTGAAAGTCTACTGAAAAGCTTCCTTTTCAGTACAACTGTTCTCCCATACAGTATTTATCTTTCTTTTTTAAAAATTAGCAGCACCATAATACACTGTTGGCATACATACAAATGTTATGCTAAATGCTTCTGAGAGCTATCAATACTATTGCTATTATGAGCTAAACATTTAATAATATATTTTACATTATTTTACCCTACATTAGACATGTTTGTTCTTCACATTTCTTTAGAATGAATGGCTGGCTGAAGTAGACTGCTAGGTGATTATCTTAAATTAACAACTCATCCCAGCGAGTCATTAATTCACAGAAAGTGACCGGCTGCTCTGAAGACATTACTGAATTCGTGGTTTTACGTCACATATGGAAAATGTACTCTTACACTGTACTGATAAAGATTTGCTAAATATTAGCAGACATCATGAAAGAAAGAATTACTGGGCAATAAAATGTTTTGTCATTAAAAGCACAAGCTGCGCACCGCAGATTTAATTACATGAATTCTGCAATGAACAGCAGGACACATCACCAAAATAGTATTTTAACTGTGGTTCCCAAATGATGAATTGCCTGTAATATTACAAGCAAGGATCATAGTGTGCAACCCAAGAGAAAAAAATGGCCTGTGGCTGAATCTACACTGGCCCCAAACACAGGCCCAGGCTCGGGTTCTCCATATGATGTTTGTGAAGCAAAGGCAAGGTTCAAGGGTA